CATAACAGCTTTGATTGAATTCTGGCCTCTGTGTTTTATTCAACCTGAATTGTTTGTTCTATGCTAGCTGGTTGTGTCCTTTGCAGTTTCCTTTGTCTTTTGTGCTGACATTAATATGATGTGCATGTTGTTGTGATTTAAACAAGAAGAGCCAAGTTTCATCAATTATAAACATCATCATCATGCTGTAGTAGAATAGAAACTGTGTTGGCTTGTCTTTCATTTGTACTGTCAAACATCCAAGGCAGTAGGAAAGATCACTTTTCTGCATAAACATTGAAAGACCACTTCTGCTACCCTTGTTCACAATGATCATGAGATTGAAACCATCAACACTAGTTTGTCTTCTAAGGACCCATTTAAAAACAATAGGAGTATGATTGCAAACCTCAAATTCCTGGCTGTTACATGAAACCTTTGAACTGACCTTGTTAGAGTGAGGCAGGGTTGCTAGCATGGAGGTCTCTTTGCTTTGAGAAATAATTGCAGCAAACCTATTGGTATGAGGACTTTGATGCTTAGAAGGCTGTAGTGAGATCAATATTGTTAGTCTTGCTGGCTCAGGATAATCCTAGGAGTACTTGTGTGTAGGCTGATTTGAGTTTAGATTAGATGTGTCATTTGGTCTGCCTTGTTTGTTTCAATTGCTGAGCAGCATATTGCCTTTCTGTTATTATTAATGCTTGCATTTAGAGCAGTGTTAGTTTTCAATCATGTTTCTTGCATTATTTCCTGCACATCACAGTTACATACATTCTGATTGAAAGCCCTACACAGTTTTTGAGGTTGCATCAATTACATTTTGTGGTTTCAAGTATTTAAACCTTAAAGACACCAACACCATAATCATACTTTGAACATAGTAGAAGTTATTAGGATGTTTGCTTGCTGTCAAAGAATCCAAGACAGTTGGAGATCAATTTTAGCATAGACCTTGAAAGACAATTCTTATTACCTAGACATGTTTAAATTCATATTTGAGAGTTGTCAAAATGCTCACATTGGACTGTTGGTGCATAGAATAAAATTTGGATCTTCATACCACAAGCACAATAACACTCAAACTACAACTCACACACTTGATTTTTGTTCTATTGATTTCTGTATAACATTTTCTGTTGAGACCCTTTCTACAACATATTTTCAACTTGCTCCAACTCCCATTTGCTATTTAAAACTTTCTGTTTGGATCTTCCCCCCCCCCCCCCCCCCCCCCCCCCAAAATGCATTTTCAAGTTTGAAAATTGCAACTTGATGATCATTATTCACCACCATTTGTTTTCAACTCAATCTTTAGTTTACCTTCAGCCAGTTGTGGCTAGTGTGTATATAATTTTGGTTTAGCATGAGAGTGGCTAAAATGAGTTTGGAGTACCAATTTGCATCACATGAATCACAAAGCATAAGCATTCGTTTTTTTCATCTCACTAAGAATTTTGGGAAACTAACATCACCATCAGATTCCTCATGATTTTCTGGGTAAGATGCATATAAGGTTTGTCAAAATCAGTTGAAATTTGAGAAAGTTGGAGTTGTTTTGCAAACATGGTGAAAGCCTTGGAGTTGCCCAGAAATTTATCCAAACAAGCTATGTATATTATTGGGTTCCATTCAATTAATGGATGTAACAGCCACCCCAGTGGCAGACCCTTGCGCGCCTTATACCCCTCTACCTGCATGACCAGGGTTCGATCCGGGTGGAGGTCGAACCCTTTTGTTTTTTATTTTCCAATTTTCATTAATAAACTATTTTCTTCTTTCTTTCTATTCTCCTAACACATGCGCGCGGTGTGGCCAGATGGTTTAACATTGGGCTTGTGAACCAAGAGGGCCAGGGTTCAACTCCCTCCCTTGACTTTTTTTCACTTATTCCATTTTATTTTATTTTCATAAATTTCAGTGAATCATAACTTTCTCACACTTCATCTTTTTTAATCCGTTCTTTTTTCTAATTGATCATGTTAATGTCTAATTTCATTTAATGGAATAAAACCTCAAATTGCTTGTACTTGCAACGCCTTTTGCCTACCTGGAAGTTTGGTTCAGTTTTAGGTCGTTACTTTGTGCTCAGATGAATTTTTCTTTATGCCATACCTGATTTATCTTGTGAGATTTATCTGTGTTTGTTAACATGTTGTGGCTTCATTCCTTGTTGGTGGTTACCATGATTTTTCCATTCCTAAGTCTTGAATTTAACTATTGTGATCAGTCCTTGCGTTTTTTGATTGTCATCAATGTCTAATTGTTGTTATATTTGAACTTATAACATGGTCACTTTAAGTTGAGACTTATTTGTATGGTTGTCATCATGATCTCATTTTATCTTTCCTCCTAAATTATGAGGTCTAAACTAATTTAATTGTGTTTGATTGTCATCTATGCACATTGTTGTCAGATTTACTATGCTTTGAACTTGTGACATGCCTACTTTCAAATTGTGATTTGTTCATATGATTGTTACTTTTACCATGCTTCAAATCTTTGTTAAGATGTGCCCTCAATCTTTGCTAAAATAATTGACTATCGGTTGCAACCCTTGATATCATTTAAAGTATCTGCTTATCGTAATATGCATGCTTACTTGTCTTAATCTTGTTTCATCTTGCTTTATTAAGTACTTCTTTCCCCAAGTGATGGAACTTTCTAGTTCTCATCCAAGTTGCTTCTCTCTCTCTCTCCTTCCAAAGGAAAAGTCTCTCCATTGACCTTTGTCTCATGGATAGCTCATTACCCCTCTTGACCTTGAAAAGTCATTTTGAACCTTAGCTAAGATCAAAACCCATAAGCCATTTGACTTTGCTTAAGTCTAAAAGACCCACATTTACTAGGAGTGCCCCTCAATTAGAACCCTATGTTAGAGTTTGGTTAACTCTATGTAAGAATCACGGATATGATTACTTACTTCCCTTTCTTGAGAGTTCAACATAGACATAGTGAGTTTTGTTAAACTCTACACAAACATTGTTATGTTTGTTCCCCATGGAACCTTGATCACAATCAAGCGTTCTTCAACCCTAATGAGGTGAACTACGATTGCTCTGATTCTATCCTAGTTAGGATACGTAGGCAGAGGACGCGATGTCTTTGCGAGCAAACTTAGAAACTATCTTTAGGTTTTAACCTATACCCTTTACCCAACCCAAACCTTAGCAAACATTTACCAACATAGCATACAAATAAACAAAAGGTTCCTGTAGAGTACTACAGATGTTTAGGATGTGAAATACCTACCCTATGCATAACCAACCCCCGATCCCCGAATCTCTTAGCGTTGTTGTAACATCGCGCAAAAGGTTCTTTCTTTCTTTAGACCTTTCCTTTGGATAAATTAAAGTCCGGTTGTAAAAGAATTAAGGTTCAAGTTAATTCAATAGCTTGATATCCGATTTTCACCGCAACAGTATTCACATGTAATCTTTGAACTTTTATTGAGTAAGTAAATAGAAAAACAGTTTTAACCAATTCTTATTCTTCTTCTTCCTTCTTCTCTATCTTTCGTAAAACCTAAAAGGGTTTCTTGTGTTTGTTCAAGAAACTCAATATTTTTCTCATATTTTGGTTTGTTCTTGACGACATCAATTCACAACAATGTGAAATTATAGACCACTTATTTCTTAGATGTAAGTACACCTTATTTTTCTAGCATTGGATAGAGCAATTGACATTAGCATTGATAGAATTAGTTATGAATGTCTATTCAAACTTGTTGGTAGAAGTTGGAGGTCTCAAATTCATAATATAATCATGACTTTCATCACAATAATTTTTTGGAAAATTTGATACACAAATAATGGTATCATATTTAAAATGGTAAAATTGACTTTGATAAAGACATTCTTCATGTTAAACAATTGGTTTGTATTGCATCTTCTTCTTTCAAGGGGCATATGTACTCTTAAATTTATGAATTTACAATTATTAAATACTCTGACATCAAATGTTGACTTTCTCTCGCACTTAATAACATACAAGTTAATTGATGTTTTCCTACTCATAATTGAATTAAGTCCAACATAGATGAAACTTTAAGGTGAAACCCTAAAATATCTGTTTGTAAACATTTTTAAAAATTTTCTCATATAAAAATGGAGTTTACACCTCCTATCAAACTAAATTGTATAAAGTCGTGTTTGCTATCGAATATGCTAAAAAGAAAAATTAAAGAAATCTTTTACTTGAATTTAATTTAATATTTGTCTTTCATGCATAACATATTTTATTTAAATAAAAAAGTAATTTATACATTATATGTTCCTTCATATTCAACATTTTTTTTTTTAGAAGAGATATTTATGCGAATAGAAAAGTCAATATAGTTTTTCATTAAAATTTATTATTTATTTGTATTTTTAAAATTTTTTTAAAGATAAATTAAAGATGTCCATCATATTTGTTAGATTTTGATTAATTAAATCTTATGTCTATTTTTTTATTTAAAAATTTAACTTTATTAAAATAATTTTAAAAATAAGAGAAATGTATATAAATAAGATAGAAAAATATAAGGGATTGACCCAGGTACTGGTCTTCTAATTTCTTTTTAAAGAATTTTTTTATATTATTAATAAAAATTAATTTTTGTATCATATAAATTTAGAATTTAATTATTATGAAATATTTTATACTATCACTTAATAAAAATATATTATTATATATATTATATAATTAATTTAAAATTCTTAATATAACTATTTCTTCCATAAATTTAAATATATTTTAATTTGTATGAAAATTTATAATTTGAGAAGGCGGTGTTATTCAAATTATATTTTTCAAATGAGCATATTATTTTATAATTTATATTTATATTTGTTCTTTTGTGCATGAAGCCAGTGAGTAATATAATATCTATGCAGAGGCTTACACGTATTCACTCGTCACGCAAACATGGCATAGTGGATTCTGACAGGTGTCAAATCCAACTCAATCACTTTAAGTTGTTATGCACTCGCTCACTTTAAATTTACTCCATGTTTTCTATTCTAGCAAAGGTAGGGGTGATGGAGGAATTAAGTGGAGGTGCAGAAGAGAAGAGGATGAAGATGAAAGTGATGGTAGCAATAGACGATAGTGATGGAAGCTTGTATGCTCTTAAATGGGCACTTGAAAACCTCTTCGATGTCATGACTAGTATGGAAGAGGCAACAAGCTCGGAAAATGAGGGAATGGTTTTTCTTGTTCATGTTGAACCAACTTTCCAAAACTATGTGCATGCTATTGGACCAGCTGGTGCTGGTTCGTATCCTTTACTAATATTTATTAAGATTATACAAAAAAAATTGAGATTGAACAATAAAATTCATGTTTGGTTCTATTTAATGCAATTTTGTAAGGTTTGCTTTTGATGTGTTCATTTTTCAACAGCTTTTTATCCAGCATCTGTAGTTGTGGATTCGGTGAAGAAAGCTCAACAAGAAAAATCTGTAGCTATTCTTTCGAGGGCTTTGCAAATGTGCAAGGATAAGCAGGTAAATTTATATTCTTTTTACTTAACTATTTATTCATACAGTTAGAGTTAGAGTTAGGCGTCATCCCCAATAGGCATAGGAATAGACATAGGGGTGTTCAAATAAATCGGTTATTTAAATAATCCATATTTATATTTAAATCTGTTTATTAAAAACCGGTTAATTATTAGTATAGTTTTAACCAAATCTACATTTTGAATATATTTTTAATATGGTTTTAACTAAATTCATAATTTTGACATCCATATTTAAAATAAAAATCAAATTAGTTATTTTTAATTAAAAAAAATTTGAAAATTTTTTCAAAAAAAAATTATTTTAAAAAATAATATTGTTTTAATTTTTTTCAGTAAATAAAATTTTTTTCGTCATAATTATTTTACTATTTATTTTTGAAACATCGTTGCGGAAATCAATTTATTTTTTATTTCAATTTCAGCTTTAAAAGTTAATTATTTTACTATTTAATAAATAATATATAAATAATATCAATCTATACGATTTCTATTTTATTTGAAGTATAAGAATGAGTGATCTAAAATGAGCGATTTTAATAGTGAATGACCAATTTAATGTTAAACCAATCATCTTTTATTATTATTATATATTAACATAGACTTACATATTATACAATTTATTAATTGTTAATATAATTGTTGCACAATAATAGTTTCACACCTGCGCTACCGGTTAAAATATGTAAATACTTATTCTAGTATGATTGTACTATACTAAAAGTCTATATTGCTCCTTTTAAGATAATTAATAAAGAGTTTGTTTAAAATTTCCCCAACCGATTTGCAAAACGTTTTATTCAAGATATCTAAACTATATAATATCTCCTTCATATCACTTATTATATATAGCACTCTAATTATTTTATTCATGATTCAAAAAAACTAAAATAAAAATTAAATTAGTCAATTTTTTAATTAAAAAAAACTTTGAAATTTTTTTTAAAAAAAAGAAATTAATCTTTTTTAAAAAAAATATTATTTTAATTTTTTTCAATAAATAAAAACTTTTTCCAAAAAATTTTAAAAAATAATTTTTAATAAAGTTAATTTTTTAAAATCAACATGAACCTATATATTTTGTTGAAACCCATATATTTAAAATCAAATAAACCTATATATTTAACATGAACCTATATATTTAAAATCAATATAGTAATTTTTAGTTACTTCGTAACATTATTTTTAGTTACTCTTGTTGATCACTAATATGTTGATTTTTATATATTTTGATGAAAATATACACCTATATATTTTGTTACTAGTATATTGTGAAATTTTTAAAGGGAATTAAATTTACACATAGTAATATTATAATTTTGAAAACATCAATTTTAAAATAAAATTAAATCAAAATTAATTATAAAATTGGTTATGGATATAACCGGTTTATAACCATTTTAAAAAATAAAAATTGGTTATTAGAATTGGTTTTAATTACCGGTTGTAATATATGGATTATTTATGGTTATGGATTGGTTTTGAACATTAATCATCCATGATCATCCCTAAATAGGCATGTCCATCCTCTATAGGTTCATCTGCAATAGGCATGTTCATCCTACTATTTAGGTTCATCCTGTAAATAAAAAATGGAGCTTGTCTCATAAAAAAAGTGAGGGGTGAGAGAGGGGCGGATCAATCGGGCCGGACCTATCACCCCTAGTTACAAAGTCTGGCATATTAGATATTTCTGTTTTACACGCACTTTTACACGAGTTGGGTCTATTTTGTCATCTCTAGTTAGAGTTCCGAGTTTGCTATATTTGTTTTATCCGCATTTTTATACTAGTCGGATTAAAATTTAGCTTGCATTCTCTAATATGACATATTTAGCTTGCATTCTCTTAGTTGGATCAAAATTTAGCTTGCATTCTCTAATATGACCATTCAATCTCACTTTGCTTTTTTTTTTCAAGCATCTTTGTTATTTATACTGTATGCACTCTGTTTTTTTCTTCAAGTATTTGTCATTTTTCTTCAAGTATTTGTCATTTATACGGTATGTGCTGGTTTGTACCGCCTTTTTTTTTTTTGCAAAACACTCTATTTTTGGGATTTTTGCAAGAGAAATATAAATAGAATGACATGTGTTAAAATATGTGGTTTAGGCCTATAAAATTGATAAGATGAGAATTATCTCACTTATAAAAACATGAACATGGTCAGGTTACATCTTATCTATATTTAACTATATTTAACTGTATGTCTTATTATATCTAATATAGTTGTCACAACTTTATATTTAACTGTATGTCTTATTATATCTAATATAGCTCTCACAACTTTGTTGAGATCCTATTGTTGAGATCCTATTTAACTACGGTTTAATTGTAACAATTAATCATAACAAACATTTTATGAACTCATCTTTAGTCAAGATTTACTCATAATAAATCACATTTATTAATCTGTTTGAAAGTGTCAAATGAAAGGTGAGGATTATCCTAATTAGAATATAAAGACGTTTAAGTCATATTTTATGATTCTTAACTATACATCTTATTATATTTAATATAGTCGTCTTAACTTTTTAGACCCTATATAAATATGTTATAATTTAACCATGATTCTTAACTGTATATCTTATTATATTTAATATAGTCGTCTCAACTTTTTAGACCCACATAAATATGTCATAATTTAACCATAATAACTTAAATAGAAATTTTATTTAACTATGGTTTAACTTAAATAGAAGTTTTATTTAACTATAGTTTAACTGATATGAACTCATCTTTAGCCAAGATTTATTTTTAAAAAAGATTTATTTTTAATAAATTTTAAGTCTATGTGATACTTTGTCTTGTCTTGTACCCCTCAAATAAGGTCCATATATTTAATACTCTCTCCAATTCAAAATAAGTGTTATATTTGACATTTTTTTTATAGATTAAGAAATGTGGTTTAGGTTTAATTCTGAAGGTGAGATAATACTTAGAAGGGGGGGTTGAATAAGTATGAAAAATTAAGACTTGAAAATAATCACACAATTATTTTTATCCTGGTTCGTTTAAACAACTACTCCAGTCCACCCTTCCTAGAGTGATTTGCCTTTCTCAACAAGGACTTAATCCACTATTAAATCAAATTGATTACAATAGTAACACCTAAGAACAACAGTTCTTAGTCTTCTCAAGAGCTACTGATTCCAACTGAATCCTCTTAAGGAATATCCTTTACAATCTATGTAAATTAAATACAAGAGTATTAGTGCTTCTATAAAGCTTTTATCACAACAGTGATTTTTCTCTTAAGTTTAAGTACAATAAGATTCTAAGAAGAATAAGAATGAATGAGAGCTTTAGAATATAATGATTTCTTTTCAGCAAAAAGTGTAACTGAAGAATGTAGTGAAGTTCTCCTTTTATAGGCAGCTGATCCAAGGAAGCTGAACGTTGAAAAGAGAGTCCCAAAAAGGTCTGAGCCTTTTTGTCTTCACATCAAGTGACCTTTCCTAGAAGTAGATGGCACAGAAAAATTCTTTTTGTCTGTGTAAGTGTGTCTAGCACAAATAAGGAAAGAGACGTTGAATAGCTCCAACGGATATATTCTTGAATATTTCTTCTTCAGTTTTCAGCAAGTTCTTCAGAGTCTGAATGGATCAGAGTCTTCTAATGAAAATCAGAACTTTGCTATATCAGAGTCTTCTGCAGCAGGTGTGCTTTCAGCGTGTTGATCATCAGAGCATTTTTGACACAGAACTTCAGTACTTGGCAGCGTTGGTACTTTCAGAAACTTCTGTAGATTAATGCTTTGAGAAACTCTTCAATAAATATTCTTCTATGCTTCAGATGCTTCTGACTATCTTCAGATGCTTCTGACTCAGAATGTTCTGGAGCTTCTTGCTTCAGATCCTTCTGGAGACTACGCTCAGGATCTTTTGTAAGGAGCAATCAGATTCTTCTGTAAGGTGCATCTGGCGCTTCAGAGTCAGGATAACTTCTTGTATCCAAAAACAGATTTGCTTCTAGAGAGTTATTTTCAATTCAATCTGCAGTAGAACTCTCAAATAAATTTTAGAGTATATAATTCTTAAATATAAATTTCCTAACAGTTATCATCAAAACAAAGAGTTATTATTAAGAACCAATCTGTGTTCTAACAATCTCCCCCTTTTTGATGATGACAAAAAGTATCAGAAATTTTATTTAACTGAACATAAAGAATTATAACTCCCCCTGAGATGATGAATCTCCCCCTGAGTTAAATATGAAAAAGGAATAGAAACTTCCCTTTTTATCTTGAGTAATCTTCAGAGTTAGATCTTGTTTGTTCTTGTAATAATTTAGGGTCAAAAAAAATCTTGCAGATATAAGATTCAGAGTTTGATAAAAAAGCAAATGATCTGAGAGACTCAGAGATTCTCTTATAGAGTGTTCTTATCAAATGTTCTGAAATGGTCAATTTAAATATTAGATAGAATAGATATGTCTGAAGATTCATTCTAGTGAAGTTATATTAAACAGTTCAGATCTTTAATTTCTCCCCCCTTTTTGTCATAAACAAAAAGTAAAAACTTTGAAAAGGACAAATAAAAGGAACAAGAAATAGATAATTCAATGGAGAAAAACTTATTCATATAAAATAACAGAGCAAGAGTACATAGGTAAACATCAGAAGTTATAACAATAAAATTCAGATGCAAACAACAGATGCACAAACATAAGAATGAAAGAAAAAATCTAAGAGTGTTTTGACAAAAGCATCTTCAATAGGTCTGTAATCTCAGATGATGATTGCTCTTGCTTTGATATCCACTTAGTCATTGTCTCATTCTTCTCATCTTGTTTTGACATCCACTCTGTCATGTCCTCAGATTTCTTATCTTGCTTTGTCATCCAAGATTTTATTTCAGACTGACCAGCCTCCAGAGCAGCAATCTTGTCTTCAAAGTCTGGATGTTCTGACTTTATCTCTGATGAAGATGGTGGAGGTTCTGCAGCCTGAACAGAGTCAATTGCCATAGGTTCTGTAGATCCTGAA